GATCGGTATGTCGAAATTTCGGTTGGCACATCGAAATTTGACCGAAATTATCAAATTTTGACCAAAACGAAATTCATTCTTACTCCATTTCGATCTACTCTAAAAATCGATACATACCGACTATATCGACCAGTACGATACGGTATTTATTTCTTTGATTGAAACACTAAATTATAGCATAAAGAAAATTTCTTTGTAAAAAAAAATTGTTAATAGAAATAATTAAATCTCTAAAAGAATAGATGTAATAACTCATAAAGTTACCTTTTTCATATGTCAAAACCATTTCAATAGTTAGGTGGTTTTTATCAAGTTTCAAATAAAAAACATGTCACAATCTATATATTTGCACTTTAATCTCTCACTCTTCTTTATTGGGAGAAAGTTGATCAAAGAATATATATTTCATATTCTTTGCAATTAATTCACCCTTAAATATTTTAAAAATTTTAGCAACAAAATATTTAAAAATAAAAGAAAAGATGTAATATAATTAGGAGAAAAACAAATTGATGGTTAAAATCAAATACTTATTCATACTAAAAAAAAAATTCAAGCACCTATACTCTGTAACCAAAATTTGAATTTAGAAAAATCTTTAAAACAAAGTAACAATGAAAGAAGGTAAGGAATTTAAATAGTTGATACTTAATTCTTCATCTTCTTTTTGTTAGATAAATTTTTTTTCCATTTTTCTTCTTTTGGTTGCCTTTTCATTTACCATAGTTATTCACAATTATTCTTATCATTTACATATTTTCAATTATTTGTCTCTTCATCTACCACTTTTATTATCATTTATAACTTTTTTTTTATTTTCATTTATTTATTTTGCATACCTTATTTAATGCATAAGATGGCATTTCTTCCTTTGGTTGCCTTTTCATCTATCATATTTATTCAAGATCAAATTAGGAATTCGTATAATAGTTCAAGAACCAAATTAGATATTTAATTTTTTTTTTACACCTTTTAGAGATAAAAATTTTCTTTAAACTTTTTCTTACGTAAAACTTTACAACTTTTTTATTGACTCTTTTTAACAACGTAACATAAATTTAACAAAATTTTTTTATAAAACTTATTAATTTTTATACAATATTTTAAAATTATTTTTTTAATAAAAACTTTCTTAATAATAATAGGTTCTAATCAAATAGACCTTAGGCTTAATATTCATTTTATTTGTAAAAAATTGTGATGGATAAAAAAAAAGAGAGCTTAGTTCCCTTAAAAAAAGAATTAGAAAAGGAGTCTCCAATGTGGTCCACTGAAGATGCCCTTACTAATACACTTCTAACCTCTTCTTCTTCTTCAATTTTTTTTTTTTTTAAACAGATATAAATTTAGAGGGGAGGAATTTCAGCACGGATGGCCAGGTGCCTTAACTTCTAACAAAAATGCACACTTCCTCGTGAGTGGGTTTCTAGTCCATCATATGTCACATTCGGCCTCCGCAATAGCTCCAAAAATACTGCAGTTCAAAATTATAAAAAAAAAAAAAAGGCGCATGGCTCCTATTGTCTTAAAGTGAAATGACATAAAGGTTTATGGTATGATTAATTCTAATCCAAAGCAATATGACATAAAGGCGTATGTTATGAGCCCATGACTAATTTGTTAATTTGGTTCAAAAAGCTTTTTTATAACAAGGTTACCATTTTAAAAGCCAAAAAAAATCAAATCTCAACATTTAAATTAGAGAATATGCCTTATAAATCAATTTATGATAGTTAGATCGTGAAGTTTAAATATAATTTAATTCAAACAGTTAATAAAGAGATTAGTAATAAGTGATATGACATAAAGTATATAGCATGATGAATCTGGGCGTATATGGGTTCAAGTTCATTGCATCCATTTGGCCTCCGCTATAGCTCCAAAAATTCTTCTGGTCATTCTTTGTACCACCATTAATCATGAACATTGAATCCTTGGAGCATGCGCACCGGGGAATTTATGCCACCTTTAGGCTTGGTATTCCTGTTTCTTCATGCGCTTGTGGTGGTGTTTGCTAGGGTATTTGTTTATGTACTACTTCTGATTTATTTTATTTGTCTTGATTCATGATACAGATTTTAAGGTAATTTTTATAATATATAAATAATAATTTTAATTTTTTATAAAATAAAATTATTTAATAATTATTATATATAATTTAAATTATTATTTATATATTATAAAAAAAATCACCGAAAACTACAAATTGCAACTAGTAAAATGAAGTAACATTTTGCTGCAAAGTTCTCTATATGATTCTTAGCCTGTGGCTCTATCTGTACTTCTTGTTCTTTTGAATGTGCTTCTAATTTATTAATTATGATTTTTTATCACAAAATATAAAATTACTTTACCCTTGTCAAAAATCAGACGGGGTTTTGAGCACAGTGCCAAAAAAGAGGGGTGAATTTTTTCGTGAGACATCATTTTTATCCCACTTTCTTAGACGTAAAAAGATTTTTCTTTTTTTAGTATCGATTGTTGGAGCATTTTCAAATCAGTTTTAATGCAAATAATTCTTCTTTAGTTTATCTTAATAACGTAGGTTTACAATGGTATGATGGATTCAAGTATTTAAATAAATTAATTTTTTATAATTTTGATTTCAAAACTTAAATTATAATTTTAACCTATAAGATGATACATATTTGTCAATAAATTTAATTTTTAGAATTGAAAATAATAATAAAAAGTTAAATACATTAATTAATAAGT